CCCCCCCCCTCATACGACCGGACAAAAACAATCCAAGTTCAGAACGCCTCTTTGAGGGTTCAAACTTGGGCCATCCGCTCCGTGGTCTAGTAGTATTATATCAACTATGCCAGGGGTGCCCTGCGTTAAGAGCGAAAAGACGGGAAACAGGATCATGCCAAAAGAGGGTATATATCACGCTCTTATCTCACCTTGACCTTGTCAAGAATACCCTTGATGTCACCGGGCCACATGTGTTTTGCGGCGTCCACTCTGAATCCCGCGACTCCCAGATCGATGAGATGGTTCAGATAACCTGCCACTTTCCCGCGAACGTAGTCCTTGCTCAAACGGAGGTCGAGCAAATTAACTAGACGGCAGTTTCTGACAAGAGAAAAAAACCCCACAAACTTTCTGTCTTTTTGTAAAACAGTTTAGCGTTATGCGCAACAACTGGAGTCACTGTGGGGGTCGCAGTGGAGTTGAATCTATAATGTATGTGTGTATGGTATGAAATCAGGCGCTCGTCAAAGTAATGGAATCGAAGAAACCGACATTAATTTTTCCGCCCGTTGGGCAAATGTTATCGACTTTTTTTCTCGACAACTCTTATATCCTTTTAAAACAAATTTCTGTAGGGATGTTACAGAAAAACGTTGATCATTGGCGCATAAGACATTGAATTTGCAGTTTCCATGGACTCTGAAGCTTTGGTGGCAATTTTCTCGCTTATTTTTCTTCTGACACAAGACCTCTTTAAATCGCAATGATCTCTACTTTAATTTCAAGATAAATGATAAATTTTCATCAAGATCAAGGCAAATGAACGAATTTTAAGATAATATCAATAACTTCAATACCATATGCCCAATAATTGACGAGCGCCTGATTCCACCGTGTCGTGACATATATCTCAGAGGGATAGGAAATATTTGACGTCATATGCAAACACATGGGAAAGGATGGGGGGGGGGAGGAGTATTAAGGAGGTGGATATACATGTACTTCAATTTTTACCTAACCCCTCTTTCACAGGCGTCTGTGATGAATGAGATAGGCGCTTCACCGTTCCAAGCAGAAGACGGGAGTTCGAATCCCATGCGGGGAGGGTTTTTTTTATAATCGAGTGTCCCCGCCTGTCTAATGGGACGTCATGTCCCTCTCAGTCCGGGGTGGTCCTGGCCTGTCGAAGCAGCCTGCCTCCAAAGAGATCTAAATTGTGTCAACAAGGGGGTAAAACAACTATAATCGTAATTGTTAAATTTTTAACAGATTTGAAATTACTGTTGAAGTGCGGTATCTGTAGTGCGAAATGGCAAATACAAAGAGTCTTTAAGCCCTTCACTGTCACTTAATTGAACTTGAGAGAACCACGATTTATTTTTTATTTTTTTTTGAATTTTTTTTTTTGGGGGGGGGGGAGGTTTAGATAATGTTGTTTAAAAATGTGCGATCTTTATATACTATCGTTTATGATCAAGTAAGATAATGTATAATCGTTTACAACCATTTACAAAAATTAATTTGTCATCATTATTTACAAAATGGTGTCAGTGGTGTAGCAATTAGGCGCTTCGCTGTTTCACAAAGAAGAACCGAGTTCCAATTCTGTGTGGGGAGAATGTCTAATGGAGTACATACATTTCATCTTTTCTTCTGGGATGTTGTTTCCATCTCAACTCGAATGGGCCCTGACAGTCAGAGTGGAAGCCCACCTCCAACTAAATTATCTAAATTGTGTCTATTTGGGCATGAAACAGCTGCGTTTTTTTCAAATGGTATAATTTACAAGCGATTACCATGAACCCAGCAGTGGTGGATATTCTCACCTGACCTCCTCGGGGTTGTTGTAATTGTTGATGTGCCCATTCCCGGAGTGGCAGTTGCTGCCGTCGTTGAAGTCGGAGCTCCCGTAAGGCACGCCGGGAAAAGACAGGGTGTCCGCGTCAAAGTGTGTGCCTCCTGTCCCCGAGCCAGACCCTCCCCCGCCACACATGTGGTTGATGACCACGTCCACGTAGATCCTAGGAGGTGGAGAGTGAGTATTATGAGGAAATGGAAAGGGATACATCATGAAGTTGCTAGGGAAAGAGGAGGGGTGTAGAGAGGAGAGAGGTAGAGGGAGAGAGGGGGGAGTAGGGGAAAGAGTGAGAGAGAGAGAAGGAGAGAGAGAAAGAGAGAGAGACAGTCTGTGTGTGTGTGCGAGAGAGAGAGAGAGAGTGTGTGTGTGTGTGAGAGAGAGAGAGAGAGAGAGAGAGAGAGAGAG